AAATATTTTCTTTTGAAGTGTGAGCAAATTGTTTTTTAAAATCTTGGGTGGCCTCACAGATATAGAGGACCAAAGTTGTGGTTACCAATGGGGAGGGGGAAGTGGGGAGGGGCAAGATAGGGGTTGAGGATAAGAGGTACAAACTACTATGTATAAATAGATAAGCTATAAGGATATGTTGTACAGCACAGGGAATATAACCAATATTTTATAGTAGCTATAAATGGAGTAGTATAACATTAAAAATTGTGAATCACTACATTGTACACCTGAAACTTTCATAATATTGTAAATCAGCCATACCTCAACTGAAAAAAAAAAAAGATCTTGGGTAGTCTATAAGCCTTGCACTAGACAAATTAATACCTCTGATTGCCATCTGGTGTTGAACAAACAGCATTTTGTAATAGATGTTTCCTAACCTTTGCATTCTGAAATGTTGTCTTTTCTCTCTATCTCCATAGAGGTCACTATTGCTTTGCCCTGTCCTATTTCTTTCCTTAAGAGGAGGCTGAACTTGTATTGCTACCGAACTCAGGTTCAGCTGCTCACTGCTCAAAAGTCAATAATCCGAGAGGTAAGTGTCACTAGAAAGGAAAGGTGCTTTAATTAGAAAAGCCTGCAATCTGGGTAGAAGGTGGACTCGTGTCCAGAAACCAACTCCGAAGATTCTGCTCAGTCATGATAGTTTTTAAAGGGAAAAATGGGCGAAAGAATCTCAGTGAATCATCAAGGCAGGAGGTTGGGTTCTGCATCATTCTCCTCTGTATGCAGACTGGCTGACTCTCTTTTCAGACATTATCTTGCCCACATGATCTGCCTGCAGGATTCCTTAGGAGGCCTTATGTGGGGAGAGAGCTAATCATTCTTTAATTATTTAATTCTTCATTCTTACTTCTTTTTATCCAGGAAGATTAGGCAAGGCATGGCATGTTTCAGGAGAGCATAAGTCAGGAGTTAGGTTAAATTACTTAGTGATCTTATTATTATTACTATTTTTTTTTGGCGGTACGCAGGCCTCTCACTGTTGTGGCTTCTCCCGCTGCGGAGCACGGGCTCCGGATGCGCAGGTTCAGCGGCCATGGCTCACGGGCCCAGCCGCTCCACGGCATGTGGGAGCCTCCCGGACCGGGGCACGAACCCGCGTCTCTTGCATCCGCAGGCAGACTCCCAACCACTGCGCCACCAGAGAAGTCCGACCTCATTCTTCTAACTAGGTTCTTTGAAGGTTAGAGAGGAACAGAAATGGGCAAACAGGAAAGGGGCAGAAGAGCCGCTTTCAATTCCCCACTGTCAAACGTCATTCCATTTCTATGGGATTAGGGGCAAAGGTCCATCTTCTGTAAGTTCTTCATGCTGACATAGGGCACCATTTTCTCAAGTGGCAGATGTCAACATTGGTCTGTGGCAGCTCTTTGCTGACAATTTAAGTTGCCAGCTTACATATATGGGCAGAGAAAGCTACAATTATTTTGATGCCCACAAGGATGCAGATTATTATGAGCAATAATTTAAATCCCATGCTCTTGAGGCCAGTTCTTGGAATTGTGCTGGCCATAGATTCAGTACTGCTCAAGTTGGAGCAGCTTATGTCATGTCCTCTGGTGGCAGTTATAGTACTTGTAAAACAACTCAGAATGTGCATCAGACACCGAATCTATGACTCTATTGTCCTAATCATTAGGACATTAACTGCTCAAGCCTCTGCTCCTTTGTGACCTTGGGAAGCCCGGGAGACTTCCGCTTTTCTGCAAAGAAGAGGCAAAGAACATAGAGAGGCTTTTGTAACCCTTTTCTTTTTCCTTGAATTGTATCTTTTATCCTTTCTTGGAATCCACGCAAGACAATGTAGGCAGAATTATGGAGGGAAAAAGTTTTCTGAAAAGAGGGCAGAGTCAATAGTAGCAAAAAAAGGACATTAGTGAAGGAGTGAGAACTTACACAGATTCTTTGATTTGCAAGAGGAAAGATATTATCACCTTTCAAGGAACAAACTCTCATGAATGGTCGTGGTAGTAGCAGAAATCAGATTAGAAGTGACTGACAAAGAGACTGACTATGAAGTTGTGGATGGAGCAGGACCAGGTGATCCGGACAACTGAGGTGAAAGGAAGAAGAAAGAAGGTAGAGGGGAAGGTGAAGGCGAACAGAGAATTCCCCAGCAGTGCTGCAGGTCTGAGCTAGAAGGAAGGGACCTGGAGCCTGTAGAAGGCTACCGTTGTCTTCCCTCCAACCCTCCACTGAGTAACAGAGATCAATGTGCCTGACACTCTCCAGGGTGCTAAGGTTAGCAAACAGCACTTTGAAGAGCGGAAAATTACTCACATTTACTGATGTGTCAGATACTGCATTTGAGTGATTCACATATAGAAACTCATTCCGCAAACAACAGCTTACTTGGGAACTCCAGTTGACCCTTGAACAATGCTATGGTTAGGGGCGCTTCACAGTCAGAAATCCCCGCGTGTAATTCATAGTTGGCTCTCCGTAAACTTGGTTTCTCTGTATCCAAGGTTCTGCCTCCGGGAACCCAACCAACTTCAGATGGTGTAGTACCATAGTATTTACTATTTAAAAAAAAATAAATTTATTATTTATTTATTAATTTTGTCTGCGTTGGGTCTTCATTGCTGCACGTGGGCGTTCTCTAGTTGTGGCGAGCGGGGGCTACTCTTCGTTGCGGTGCACAGGCTTCTCATTGCGGTGGCTTCTCTTGTTGTGGAGCACGGGGTCTAGGCACACAGACTTCAGTAGTTGTGGCGCGGGGAAGTTAGTTGCTCCGCAGCGTGTGGGATCTTCCTGGACCAGGGCTCGAACCTGTGTCCCCTGCATCGGCAGGTGGACTCTCAACCACTGCGCCACCAGGGAAGCCCTACAAGTGATTTTTGTAAATTGAAGGATTGTTTCAAATCAAACAAACAAATGAAGAAGAATATGTAACAGAGACAATATATGTCCCACAAGCGCTAAAATATTTATTATTCAACCCTTCACAGAAAATTTTGCCAACTCCTTGTCAAGAACTGGGACGGGTCTGAGATTTTATTGCACTTGAAAGCTGACAAGTTAATTTGTATCAGTTTCATAGATGATGACAAAAGACATGAGATTCCTGGATCAGAAATGAAGGACTTTATTATTGAAAACAGTGGCTAGGGCTTCCCTGGTGGCCCTTTGACTTCCTTGAACTCATCTATACATTTATTGATTTAACATTTTTTTAAGGGGCCGACAACGTGGCAAATAAAGTGCATGACACTCTGATAGGATGACACAGGTCTATTGTCATTTAGTTTTGTAGGGGAGGCAGTCAAGTAGTACTGGGTGCTCTGATACAAGTATAAATATAGTAGATAGTGCTGGGGATAAATAAAAAACGTTCTTTTTAACCTGAGTGTTTGGGATGAAGTTTAGGAAAATACGATAGTAACGTTAACATTTGCAGAATATCCAAAATTTCTCAAATTCATTTGCAAAATGGCTAGAGAGTGTATAGAAAAATGAACCACAGGCTTCCCTGGTGACACAGTGGTTGAGAGTCCGCCTGCCGATGCAGGGGACACGGGTTCGTGCCCCGGTCCGGGAAGATCCCACATGCCGCGGAGCGGCTGGGCCCGTGAGCCATGGCCGCTGAGCCTGCGCGTCCGGAACCTGTGCTCCGCAACGGCAGAGGCCACAGCAGCGAGAGGCCCGCGTACCGCAATAAAAAAGAAGAAAAAAAATAAGAAATGAACCACATTCTTCTACGTATGTCTCTGCAGGGCAGATAAGGAGAATCGAGTCTTGTCAAAGCAGGTAACAGAATTTGGTTATGTCAATCACAAAGTTGCCTTCTTTTCCTTACTGCTTATAGTAAGAGAAATTTTTAAAAAATGGCCTATGGGATATGTTTCAATTAAGGTAAACAGGCCACAGTATATTGAATTTCTATCAATAAATTGAGTTCGTGTTCTCTAACTTTCCTATCAGCATCTTGGAACAGAGCCATTTAAATGTAGCCCTTTGGGGTTGGCGGGGAGAAGGGGACAGGATGGAAAAAGTCACCACCCAAGGAATTAAGGGGGAAGATCCAACATTTATGATATTTAGATGATTTGCTAGGTGCTTTCACCTTCTTATACTAATTCCATTTTCTCCATTAACCAATTGATGCTGTGAGAAGGTGTGTAACCTGACCAAGGTCAAAAGGCAGCTAACAAACACCAGTGCCCGGGATTGATCTCCACTGGACGCGGTCTTTTCCACTATGCGAGTCCACCAAAAACACGTAATAAAAAACAACCCCCAAAGCAACCCCTCCCCCACCCAAACCTGTCCCTTCAAAGCGGGCTTAATCACTAAGACCTAGAGGCCATTTGCTAGGCGGGTCCGATCTAGCTGAGAAGGTAATCCCGGTTCTGCAAATCTCTCGCCAAACTCCATCCTGGCTAAAGGAGAGACCCGAGAGCCACTGGCCACACTCCAGGTGGGTCATGGAGCACCCAGTGCGCCCTCTAGGGATGGAGGTTTCAGACCCTCCGCGCAGGTGCGCGCGCACCTATCGCCTGCCGCGTACGCGCCGCGCGGGGCGGGAGGGCGAGGATGAGTTACGTGCTCCGCGCGCGTGCGCCGGGCAATGCTCCCTGTACGTGCGCCGTACATGGGCACGGCGTCCCCGCGCTCCGAGTTTCGGGAAGGGATTCGGCCCTGCGCCGAGTGGGAGTCTGGGAGGGGCGTTTCCCGGGCGGGCGCGGCGCCCCCTGGCGGCGGGCGGCGGCGCTGGGGGCCCTGGCGTCGCGAGATCAGGCGTTCTCCGCGGGCAGACCGCGGCGGGGCCTTGCCTGCTAGCGCGGGGTCCTCGGCGGCCTGGGTGGCTCGTTCCTCAGCTGCTGTCGTAGGCGCGGACCGCTGCCAGTGCGGCTGCAGTTGGCTCGCGGCGGCGGCGGCGGCGGCCGAGGCGGGGGTTGAGGCGACAGGCGAAGAGGGCGGCGGGCGCGGCGGCGGCGGAGCCCGGGGCGGGCGGCAGCGAGGGGGGCGAAGATGGCGGACGTGCTCAGCGTCCTGCGACAGTACAACATTCAGAAGAAGGAGATTGTGGTGAAAGGGGACGAAGTGATTTTCGGCGAGTTCTCCTGGCCCAAGAATGTGAAGACCAACTACGTGGTTTGGGGGTGAGTCCGGCGCGGCCGGGGCCGGGGGGCGGCGGGGCAGAGTTGGGCGCCCCCGGGCCCCCTCTTTCCGAACCCCTCCCCCCGTTCCCTTTGGGGATGGAGGAAGCCTGGTGCTCCGGGGAAAAAGTTTTCCCAGGAGCAGCAGTTGCACTTGTAGGTGAGGAGGGAGCTGGAGGAGAGCTGTCTGCAGCGGTCCATCCTCTGAGCGTCGGGGGAGGGTGCCGTGGCGGTTTGTTTCTGCCCGTGTGTGCCGAGTGCTGGCTGCGTGCATAGGTGTAGAAAGGATCGCACCGCCGGGTGCCCAGAAGTCTCTTTTTTGTTCTTTAGTTGTTCCTTTCTCTACGCGGCTGCTTTGTAACTGTCTCTGCGGGCCCCTTGCAACTCCTGATCTGTTCCTTCTCCTTTCCCGATTCCCTCAAGCAGAGAGAAGGGAACCAACTCTGAAGTCAGGACGGGAAAGAGATTCGGTGACTTTGGAAGAGTAGTCAGAATCTGTTGGAGGTGAAGGCAGGAGTTTCCTCAGGGAGAAGGTTACTGCTGAAGTGGAGTAATGGGAAAAGTAAATGGGGAAAGACTCTGAAAAAGAATATAGATATATACATATGTATTACGAAAAGAGAGAGAGAGAGAGAGAGAGAGAGGTCTGATCATCTTTGGGGGCCTTTTGAGGGATGTCTCTCTCAGTGGTGTTTCATTTGTATAGCTAGAAACCTGGGCCAGAACTTCCATACTCATTTTGTTTGATTGAGTGGGAGCAGTGGGCTTTAGGAAGAGTTGATGAAAAGCTAGGGGCAGTTTAGTTGGTTGGTTTTTATTTTTTATCTTTTGGCCTCGAGGGCTTACGATTTAATTAGCTTTGTGAAATGTTGATGGAGAAATCATTCTGAGTTTTCTGTGTTTTTTCTCTTCCAGAAGGAATTTGCCCAGACAGAATTGCATTTGATTGGGTTTTAAAAACAACTTTTAAGAGTTTGGGGAAAAGAACTTGATTTGGGCAGTGCCAAACTAGAAGAGGTTAGGAGCCCTCTGTCTCACCCATAATAGCTAGGGGCTGATTGGGTTTTTAAGTGATTGGTTTTTCTTTAAAAAATGGTTGAGTACTCGAGGCAGTTCAATCTGAGAACTAGGAAAAATTGTGAGGAGCTGGGTCGGTGCCTCAGAGGAGGTTACCTCGATGAGAGTAGAGGAGATAAGACATAACTTGATAAGAATCTCATTCCCGCTCTTAAAAGAGCAGTCACCTGGGGGTGTTAGGAAAGGTTTCATGGACGTGTGTTTGGCATATAGACATGCTACAGATTTTTCTTGAATAAGTGAATGAACAAATGAATAAGCTTTAAGGAATGGATAGGAATTCTGAGGGTGAAATGGTGGGTTTGGTGTTCCAGGATTAGGGAACTGTGTGGTTAAAGGCATGAGAGCGGGAAAGGAAATGTTTTAACAGCCATTCAGTGAAGCAGGTAGTGAGAAAGGAGTGCTTAGAATAGTAGATTTCAAACTTTCACAGCAGTGTATTACACCAATACCATCATTTTCATTTACTGTTATTCTCTGTGCACATGTAAATACACACATGTACATAACATTAAACAATTTATCCTTATTGAATGCAGTGCATTCTATTTTTGTTTTTATATATCATAAAGAAATACCAGGTTGTGGCTCATATATTATACTTCACAGTACAATGATTGATAAGTGGTGTGTGGTTTGAAATATATTGATGTAGAGGAAAAGTGGAAACAGAGGCTAGAAAAGTAGGTTTGGGGCTGTTTGTATTGGGCGGTATTCAGATGAATTTAAATAACACGGTGATATTTCTAGATGGAGAGAATGTAATAGGGAGGGTGGGATTGGACACTAACATTTGTTGAGCAAGTAATAGCATGTGCTTATTGCAATGACAGAGCTTGCTCTCCTAGACGACATTGTTTTATACAGGTAGAATTAGTTTTGGCTTTACATCATTGGTTTAATTTGAGGGATGTCATAAGACTCAAATGTCTGAAATTAATTGTTGTGTTTAAGAGCGTTGTTCAGCAGTATCTTACTTAGGAGACAGGATACATGTCTTGGAAGTTTAGCACCAGTCATAGTTGTGCTTCTTTTAATCAGTTTGATTGTTTTTTCTTATGGATCCTCTCTAACTGATTAGGTTTCTCTCTCCATTGACAAAGCCCAGAACCTAATTGGGCCAAATTCTAAAAAGTCTGTAGTAATAAAGTATGAATATGGTGTGCTTTCCTTTCTTCTTGCTTTTTGTCACTATCTACTTTTGTGTTCCTTTTGCCCAAATGACAGTTGCACTTACTAAATTTCATACTTTACATGTATCTTTGTTAGCTATGTTAAATCCATCGTTGGATAGCAAAGTGAGTGTAGATAAATTAATACACATGATTAAGCCGAAGGAGTAATAGAATTGTGAGTAAAAATCTTGTCTTAATCGTTTCAGGACTGGGAAGGAAGGCCAACCCAGAGAATACTACACATTGGATTCTATCTTATTTCTACTTAATAATGTGCACCTATCTCATCCTGTTTATGTCCGACGTGCAGCTGTAAGTAGAATTCATTTAAAAACTCTTTTGATTTGACAGTTGGTATCATTTGGTGTGGATAACTTTCGTCATGGGTTTTAGATCAGAAGAATGAAAAGTTTGTTTGTATCTATATGAAAGTCTCCTGGAGGGTCAAAATTAGATAGATCACTGTGATTTATGCATATCTTTAAAATCTGTGAGTTTTTTACATGTAAGATGTGGGTAATGTTTATAACAACAGAAGTTTCAAAGCTGTTTGTAGGGATGTTTTAAAAAATTTATGAGCCTGTGGAAGGACCTTGATATTCAGAAATCTAGTTTAATTGCAAGGAAAAAAATTTTTTTTGGCATCAAAAAGAACCAAGTTTAGTAGCTTTTTAAAATGAATTTTTAATCAATTTTATACACTTTTTTCATACTTAATTGATAAATTCATTTGTTTTCAGATGCTTGAAAGATGCCTGCTTTCTGCATCTGAGTGTATGAACACTGCTTTTCTGAATAAGAAATATATATTTAGTGTCAAGTATGTATTGTAAAAAGTAATATGTAGGGTGAAACTATTTAAGACTTTGGAAATAGTGGGATAAAATATCAGCATCTCGCTTTATAAAGCTATGTTAGCTCATATTAGATCTTTAAAAACTGAATCAGGCACTAATTAGAATGTTTTATTGGATAAGTCCATTCATTTTGGGGTAATAAAGATAATCCAGACACTTGGTATAGGTTTAGATTACGTCTCTAGGGAATGGCTGTAGTACATAACTGATTCTGTAATTGTTAACTGTGGGCCTTAGGACCTTTGGTCACGTAAGATTTAACTATTATATTTCTTAAATATTTGATAGATTGAAAGGGCAGAATTCTAAAAGTCTAGGGTTCTACAAATTTTGTTTTCTCCTAACTCCTTTGTATTATTTGCTCTTTCTTGTGAGCAGACCATTTCTGAAATGAGTTTTTCCTACTCATAGCCCCTATTTTAGTGTGAATAGACTCATACTATTTTTTGTTGGTGATAACGTATATATAATTCATTAGTGACTAAATGATGAAGTATGTTATAATACTTAGACACAGTAATTTAAAGAAAATCAATTCAGATATTTTAACTATTTATGATATTCCATGTAGACTAGTTTTTAAAAACAAGCACAAAAAAAATCGGTGGGCTCTTGTTTATACTCATCAGCAGAAATTAAATTTTAACCTAACTTTTAAAGAACAGATTAATTTTAAGTGATTAAATATAGTTTATCTCTGTCATTGAGGAGCATGTGCAGAATGTTTGCTGCAGTGAAGTATAGTCAGTACTCAACATAAGATAGTTAGCCAGGGATATTAAGGGTTCTTGTTCATCGTTGCTTATATAAAGTAACAAAGGGTTTATAACTGTATAATCCCGTAACCACATGTTTTTTCCGTACTCTGTTGTCCTTAGTTTACATTATAAAAATGGTAGTGAAAATTGTGGTAATGATAGAATTCATTGGATTCATGGCCCAAGGATGACTTGGTGCCTAAAGTATACAGTTTTATTTGTTTTGCTTACCTCTTTACAAATTGCTAATATAGGAGATTAAAGGAAAACTACTCATGTAGCACAATAGATACATTTTCCAGATTTAATTTTTCAATTTTTTTCCCCTGCTTACAAAATTTATACACACTCAAGGATAAGAAAAGAGATACGTAATGTAGAAAGTAAACAACTGTCCTTAACATTTTTCTATATAGTCTCCTGATTTTTTCCCTGTGCCTAAGCAACACATACCTATTTTTTAAATCATTTTCTTTTTTCTGTTTTTTAGTTAAAATGTAGTCAATATACAGTAATAAAATATTTTCAGGTGTACAACATAGTGATTCAACATTTATGTACATTGTGAATTAATCACAGTAAGTCTAGTAACCATCTGTCATCATACAGAATTTTTGCAGTATTTTCGAGTATATTCCTTGTGCTGTACATTACATTCCCATGGCTTAGTTATTTCATAATTGGATTGTTTGCTTTTTTGACGTTCAGTCGTGTGAGTTCTTTATATAGTTTGGATGTTAATCCCTTATTGGATATATTGTTTGCAAGTATCTTCTCCCATTCAGAAGGTTGCCTTTTCATTTTGTTGATGGTTTCCTTCATGGTGCAAAAGCTTTTTAGTTTGATGTAGTCCATTTTTTTATTTTGTTGCCCTTGCCTGAGGAGACAAATCCAAAAAAATATTGGTAAGACTCATGTCAAAGAACACACTGCCTATGTTTTTCCCTAAGAGTTTTATTGTTTCTTAATTCTTACATTTAAGTCTTGAATCCATTTGAGTTTATTTTTGTATATGGTATAAGAAAGTGGTCCAGTTTGATTCTTTTGCATGTAGTTGTCCAGTTTTCCCGGGACCATTTATTGAAAAGCCTGTCTTTTCCTCAGTATATGTTGTTGGACCATGTACTTACTGTTAATTATGAAAACATAGTTTTAGTGGCTCATTTAGTTTATTCGAAACAGTTCAGTTACCATATTTGGAGGAGGTCTAGTTTGGGTGTGAGAAAAGAAAGCACTTTGGAAACCTTGAATAAAATGAGCAAGCAATGGGACTAAAATGATATTTGTCCCAAAAAGCAAAACATCATGAGTAAAATTAAAAAATAAATACTTAGAATAAGCCAAGGGACAAAAAAGACTGTAATCAGTATTTCAAAGAGGATAGGGTTATTGTTTCATTTCTAATGCTTATCTTTTGTATATCTTACTGGAATTTTGAGGATAAAGTTACCAAAAATTAATATGCTTAAAAATTGTCAAGATTTTATTAGGTTCTTTCAGCCTAATTATTTTCTAAAAAACATGATTCTAAATATATGTTATCAAGATATGTTGGAATAAAATTCAGATGTTACAGGATGTTGATCTTTACCAAGTTTCTTATAACTGTTATTGATTTGATATCTATTTTAAAATTTTGACTTTAGACTGAAAATATTCCAGTGGTTAGAAGACCTGACCGAAAAGATCTACTTGGATATCTCAATGGTGAAGCATGTGAGTAATTTTTTAATTGCTCTCACTCTTAAATAGACATTGTTGCTTTTTTTTTTCCCTGTGAAATAAGAATTAGTGGGAAGAGATCGTGGATTCCCACTAAAAACTTCCCCTACCTGCAGCTGTGTCCACGTGCTGTCTTCTCCTTCCTGTTATAGTGGATGCACTTGACTCTTGGGGCCAGTCACCCCTTCCCTGCGTGTGGGTTTCATCTCCTTTCTTACTCTCAGAGACTCTGCCTTTGCACATTGCTGCTTCTGTCTTGCATCGTCAGTTCTCTTTCTTCTGCACCATTCCCTTTAGAACATACACCGTGGTCTCTCTCATTAATAAGTTCTCTGAGCCCCCCTGTCCCCCACCTTCCTACTCTCTACTGGTCCATTTGTCTTCTCTTTTTCATTACAGAATTCTTTGCAAGGGTTGTGTGGTGTTACTGCCTCCTCTTTGCCTCTGATTCTCTCTTGAATCTACTCCAGTCTGACTTTCTTCCTCACCATCTCACTCAAATCACCCTCATGAGCTCAGCACTGACCTAAGGACTAGCAGATCCTTTGGTCTCTCTGCTTCGCAGCTAACTTGACCTCTCAGCCTTTGATACCGCTTACTCCCTTTTGGAAAGCCTTTCTTGACTTGGCGTTTGGGGCATCAGACTCTGGAGGTTCTCTTTCCACTCATTGTCTGCCTCACTTTTTTTTCTTGCTACCTTACCTCCAACACTGATGTGTTCCTGAGCTTCACATTTAGAAATTCACTGTCAGCATCTTCCCTTGGGTATTTAACAGGCGTCTGAAATGTAGCATATCCACAATAGAGTGCCGAGTCCTTCCTTCCCTTCTCCCCACCGACAGAACGGAAGCAGCAAGTCTGTTCTCCCTGTGTTCCCGTCTCAGTAAATGGTACCCCATTCACACAGTTGCTTAGGCCACCAACCCTGGAGAAATCTTTGATTCTCTTCTCTGACAGCTCACGTCCATTCCATCAGCAAGTCCTTTCTTTACCTTTGAAAGTATGACAGCTTCTTACCATCGTATGCCCACCCCGCTCCACCTTCCTCTTTAGACCATTGCGTAGCCCTCCTGAAGGTCCTCGCTCCACTGTTTCCTACAGTGTAGCCTCTGCTCACCACTCAGAGGGACCTATTTTTGAAAAAGCCTCTGAACTTGATTGTGTCACCCACCTGCTCAAGGCCATCCTGTGGCTTCCCGTCACACTTAGAATACAGCCCATCGTCCTTTCCTGAGCTTTGCGACTGTGCTTCTGCCTGTCTCTGTGCCCTCATCCTCTCCCAGTCTTCCTCTGCCCGCAGAAGTCCAGTCTTCATGGTTCTTTTAGCTTTTCTAACCTTAGAGTCTTTGCACTTGCTGTTCCCTCTGTGTTACATTTTGTTTTTCTGTGTTGTCACGTGACACTTCTCACCACCCCATTCAGAGCTCAGCTCTAATGTTGTTCCCTTATATATATATACGTTTATGTTTTTATTTATGTTTACATACACTTTTACATACATGTGTTGTGATATTGGAGTATATTCTTTGAAGTTGATTTCAGTCAGGTTATCTCAGTTTATAAGTTAAATGGTCAAAAATAGTTTGTCCTCTTATAGACTTTCTAATACAGATTAATCTTTTATAATAAAATGCTTTTACAAGCCTGCTTTAAAACATTTTTTAAGGGAAATGACCATATATAAAGTAAGAAATATAACAAATCTTGAGCATTCACTTGTAATTATATCCAATACCTATCTTCAAATATTTATCTTCTCACAGAAATCTTTTTAAATCTTCAGCAACATCGGCCAGTATAGACAGAAGTGCCCCTCTAGAAATAGGTCTGCAGAGATCTACTCAAGGTATGTCTCGTTGCATGTTTATATTGAACTTTTAAACACCAGTCCCCAAACTATACGTTTATTTACTTCTTTTTTTCCTTACAGTCAAACGAGCTGCAGATGAAGTTTTGGCAGAAGCAAAAAAACCGCGTATTGAGGTAATGGAACTTTATTTTAAGTGATTCGGTTTTTTTATGGAGATTGGACTCACGTAGTAGTAAGAATTCTTTGCTCATAGTAGTGCTCAGAACTTTTGTTTTCCTGGAAAAGTGGTAATATTAGAATGAACAGTTGATTAATAAGTAGCTTGAGCTATCGTGTAAGATCTCTCACATACAAGCTGTGTGATGGACAAGTCACTTTATTTTCTTTCTCGTCATACCCTTACGATGAAAGTGTTGGCCTAGATGAGTGGTCAGAAGGCTTGTTCTATAAAGGGCCAGATAGCAGCCACTTCAGGCCTTTTGGGCCTTGTAGTCTTTGTCCAGCTCCTTCACTCTGCCGCTGTAGTGTGAGAGCAGGCACAGGCGATGCATAAATGAACAGGCGAGGCTGTATTCCAATAAAACTTTATGAAACATGGCCAGCCAGATTTGGCCTTTGTGTTGTGGTGTGCCTACCTCTGGAATAAGGTGGTGTAGGAGTTTACTCCACTCTGAAGAGGCGTGAACATGAAGTCCTTATTCCAGTTACTTCTTCCAATATTGATATATCAGGTTATATGTTTTTTTGGTAGCATTTTATAGCCAGCAAGTGGAATATTAGTATTGGTAAACAAGGGTAGTTCATGTTAAATAGAACCCTGTGAGCAATGCAGTTAACGTTGAAAAGAAAATTTGTTGACCAGCTCGTATACTGCATAAGACAATTAAACTTTCGGAGTTTAAATTGTATGAGTACAATACTGTTTATTTAAATTTGTAACAAGCCCCAGATCAGTTGCATATAAACCCTCTGAAAATGGAGGATCATGTATTAGAGGCACACTTAAAATCTGAGAAATGACTGAACTGGCTATATATCAATGACCAGTATAGGAATAACACTTGGGGTCGCCAGTAGTGTTAACATTACTAGAAACTTAAGTTTTGTCATTTCACACTTATATAAAAATCAAATAGTTGTACCTTTTGCCTGCTTCATGAACAGCAAAGCATCCACAATTAAGGATAAGAAAGGTAACTTAAAGAGACAGGGTTGGTTGGTAAGTATATACAGTAGAGTCACTGACAAAATTTGATGCTAAGATTACATAATTTTACTTAAGGATACTCTGAGACATGGACACGATGTTTTTCAGATGATAGTGATAATTAGCTCGTTGTTATTCTGTGCTAGGTGATACTGTATGTACTTTATGTATGTCATTAACTCATGTAATCCTCACCACCACCTCCTGAAGTCGCAGTACTGTGCATGTCATCTGTGAGCAAACAGGCTCAGAGACAAGTGACTTGCTGAGGTGCACAAAACTGGGATTAGAGCCCAGGCAGTGTGGCTCCTACCTAGTCCACTATCCTGGGTACAAATTTTGTGGCAGTAAAACTGAAATTTTCCCCAACTTTCTTTGTGTATAAGGAAATTATAACCCACTTTGTACAAAGTAAGTGAATTTAGGACTTCCCTGTTGGCGCAGTGGTTAAGAATCCACCTGCTAGTGCAGGGGACACGGCTTCAAGACCTGGTCCGGGAAGATCCCACATGCCGTGGAGCAACTAAGCCCGTGCGCCACAACTACTGAGCCTGCGTTCTAGAGCCTGCGACCCACAACTACTGAAACCCGTGCACCTAGAGCCCGTGCTCTGCAACAAGAGAAGCCACCGCAATGAGAAGCCCGTGCACCGCAACGAAGAGTAGCCCCCACTCGCCGCAACTAGAGAAAGCCCACGCAGCAACGAAGACCCAACGCAGCCAAAAATAAATAAATTTTTTAAAAAAGTGAATTTAGAGATACCATTTAGTTGGAAAAACGCAAACTTTATGGTTTAATTGTTCGAAAAAAAAATTGAACATAACAGAAATGCAAAATTGCTAGGATCTGGTAACTTTAGAAACCAGCAAGAAATAGCATCATAAAATGCTTTCCAGAGCATTTGTAGGGTTAAAATGAATTACATAAATAGCCATTGATATATTACATAAACAGTTTTCAGTTCAGCAGATCTATATTGAGGACCTGCTGGGCACTATGCTAGCAGAGAGAAACCTTAGGATCTGGTTAAAACCTAGGCTGCAGTTGTCTCTAAGATCAGTCTCCTGAGACTTCATTGGCAGTTCAGTGGTTAGGACTCCCTGCTTTCACTGCTGAGGGCCCATGTTCGATCCCTGGTTGGGAAACTAATATCCCCACAGGCGCACGGTGAGGCCAAAAAAAAAAAAATCAGTTTCCGAAGGAACTTGAGTAATACGTGTTAAATCATTCTTACAAATGGAAAGAATTTAATGTGCTTGTTAAAATATTAATCTTTGCATTTATCTCAGCAATATGCCTGTTTCGAGTTTTACACGGTTAGAACACAATTGGAGCACATCTCTCTGGACCTCTTGAACGTACTGATGGTTTTTATACAATTTCATATTTGTTAGCCATAGACGCTGACTCTGGTTCTCAGTTTTCTTGTCTGTTGAATGTGGGCATTGAACTAGATCAGAATTAGTAAGTTTTGTTTTTAAGTAACCAAACACTTTTCAGACTGACTTTTACCTGAGATTCTAATATCTAAATGAGGTAAAAGTCGAGCTACCAAAGTTGAATTCAGATAAGAAGTGGCTCCTGGGCACTTTGTAGGAAGCTCCTGATGTTCTGAGAAACATACTTTGAAAACCATTGAAGTTTCACTTCTGGTGTTTTGTTCTGTGCCGATAGATTCAGGACCTGGGGCAACAGATGAAAACAATCTAGACCCAAAATGAAATTTTTGACTGTGGCAAAGCCTTCTCATAAAATTTAGTTATAAACTTCCCTGAAGAGAAGGAATTTATGTGTTGTATGTTATCTTTCTGAATAAAAGTAGCTATGATATGTTATGGGAAGAACACTTAATCATAGAAAAAAACTTACTAAAGTTTATTTGTAAGCTTTTAGTCAGTTTTAATCTTACATGATCCAACATGTATTTATTACTGTTGTCTTTATGTAACTAAAAATATTTTAAAATTGACCAAAGGCCAGTGATGCCTGGGACTTTATAGGTGGGAACTTGGGTAAGGAAAAGTTACGTGCAGTGTTTTTTTTTGTTGTTGTTCTACAAGTTAAATAAAAATTTAAAATATTCACTGAGTGATTATTTTCAGGATGAAGAGTGTGTACGCCTTGATAAAGAGAGATTGGCTGCTCGTTTGGAGGGTCACAAAGAAGGGATTGTACAGACTGAACAGATCAGGTAAGAATTTCTTTAGTAGAAACTGAGCAGTCTAGGTATATGAAAGTATACATGGAAAAAGGGATATTAGTATGCTGTCTACATGTGTTCTTCATTGCCTTCAGTTCAGAAGATGCTTGAGCATGTTTTATGGGAGGATTGGAAGCCATTGTGCTACTTATGCTTTCTGGAAGCTTCTTGATTCTGTTACCATATTGATCTTTCCTTTTTAAAAATTACTCTATAATCCAAGCCACTCGTTTATCATGAAATCTTTTCTTGGTTTATAGCAGTGATTAATAAACTTTTTCTGTAAAGTACCATGTGTTAAATATTAACATTTAACATGATTGTTGATATGCTTAATTCTAGTTTTAATTTGCTGTTGTTTTCTGTTTGTCTCTTTGTTCTTTTTCCTTTTGGGGGGACTAAAATTTTGTCCCTCCAAAAGGAAATTTATTTAATTTTGCATTAAATGAATACATGCTGTAATTCCTTTCTGTCTTTTTTGTTGGCTGATTAGTTTATGCTGTTGTCCTGTTTGAGTGGTTGCTAGGGTCACAGTCCACCTTCCGTGCTCCATCTCCGTGTGGTAAGCATGGAGCCTCAGCAAGAAGGCACTCCCAGTTCCCTCCTCTCGGCCTCTGTGATACCGCTGTCATACATTTTACTCATACATGTGTTATAAACACCAATATGCATCGTTCTTATTCTTGTTTAAAAAACTATCTTTTAAAGAGATTTAAATAAGAAAAAAATTTTATATACCCTTTCCATGCCTCTTCTTTCCTGTTGTAGACCAGTGTACCCATATTTTTTTCTTCTGCCTGAAAGGCTTCTCACCCCACCCCCCAAAAGACTTCTTTTAACATTTCTTTTTTGTGCAGGTTTGCTAGTGATTCTTTCAATTTAATTTTTATTTTTGAAAAAGTTTATTTCCCCTATTTTTTTTTTTTTAATTTTCACTGGATGTGGAATTCCAAGCTACGTCTTTTTAAAGTACTTTAAAGATGTTGTACTGCTGCCTTCTTGACTGCATTGTTTCTGATTAGAAATCTGTCATCCTTATTTTTGTTTCTTTAAATGTGCCCTTTTTTCTCTGACTACTTTAAAAATTTTCTGTATTGCAGGTTTTGAGCTATGTAATTATCACATTACTTGGAGGAGTGTTCTTCATCTTTCTTGTGCTTGAGGTCCATTGAGCTTTTTGAGGGGATTTTTGGGTTCATAATTTTCATTGAATTTAGAAAAGTTTTGGTATTGCTTCTTAAAATTTTTTTTCTTTTTCCCTCTTTCTGGCCTACTTACTTGTATTCTGCTGGAAGCTGTCCAACAGCTCACTTGGGTTCTTTTCTTTTTTTGGATTCTTTTTTCTGTTCATTTTGGATAATTTCTATAGTTCACTAATATTTTCTTCTGTAATTATGTTCACATTACATTTGTAGTCTCCAACATTGTATTTTTTTTATCTCTACAAGGTGGCTAAATATGCAGTCCATGTCTTTACTTGTTGAGCATATGGAATAGTTGCATTAATTATTTTAATGTCTTTGCTAGTCCTACGTCTGTGTCAGTTTATAGTGTTTTTGGTTTAGATTTCTCCTCATCTTGGCTTGTATTTTCCTGTTCCTTTATATGCCTTATAATCTTTAGATACCAGACATTTTGCATTTTATGTTGTTGAGTGCTAGATGTTTTTGTATTCTAAATTTTCTTTAGTTTTGTTTTGGGACACAGTTAAATCACTTGGAAGCAGTTTTTTCCTTTTGAGTGTTGATTTTAAGGTTTGTTATTTGAACAATGTTAATTTAGAGTAGTTATTCCCCACCATTGCAAAGTCAAGACCATTCTGAGTACTCTACCTAATGCCCCAGTAATATGAGGTTTTCAGTCTGGCTGGTGGCAACAGGTATTACTGTTCATCCTGAGTGAGTGCTGGACACTGTTCCCTCTAATACTCTTGGTGGTTCTGTTCCTAGCTTTAGTTTCCACTTGTTTGTGTGCTAATCAGTATTCTGCTGGAATACTCGAGGGGGACCTTCTGTGCAGCTCTCCTCAGGTACTCTGGCCTGTGAGTTTCCATACGCCTTGTTCTTGCATGTGGAAGAATCCCAGCACCATTTCTCAGATCAGGAAATACACTGTTTTGCCTGGGTTCTCCTCCCTCTGCCATGTTGGAAACTTTCAAGGCCATAAACTGCAGCTTTCATAGGACTTACTTATTTAGTTTTCATTTGTCAGAGATCACTGTCTTTCATTGCTTGATATCATGTATTGTGTAAACTATTGTTTCATGTATTTTGACTGGTTGTTTCGAGACAGGAGGGTTAATCCAGTCCCTGTTACTTCATCTTGGCTGGAAGTAAAAGTCCAATGATTGAATGTCCAATGCATGTTTGATTATAGTTTAGAAAAGTATTTGAATTTGGCTCAGGGTATGCTGGTATGCTTTAGATTTTAAGGGAAAGTTGTGTATTATGTAAAATGAGTCAAATACTAATGCATATTGAGCATGTACTTTGAGCAAGTACTTTCATACCTAATGTAAATAAAATACATACTATGTAATACTACCATGTTTAAACCTGCAGGAATTCCTGTCCTTTTCCCACATGTTGTTTAAACGTATTTCAAGATTGTCATCTTGTGATTAGACTAATAATTTTATCAACTGTTGTTAAGGTATCCAAACTCTTTTTCTTGTTTTACATTTTGAAAAATGACACTAAGCTTAAGATTGTGATCTTAATGTAATCTATACTTTCATTGTTGTCTTTTTTGTTTTCTAAATAGTTCTGAAAGCATAGGCTCTGTTTGCTATTTCATATGTTATTTGAAAATAAAGGAAAGAAAAAGAAAATTTCAAAATATTGTTTTATCTTCTAGGCTTTAAAAGGAGTATATGTTTATGTGGCATATAAAAGCCTCTGTCATCTATAAAATTGATACGTTGTACATTGTAACATATAGATTTGAAACCTTGAAATAAGTTTCAAGGAAAACCTAAACTGAATTCTTCACAGAATGAAAAATTTTTACCCCCATTCCAAGGTGGTGAATGCACATGCTCACATATGTGTGTGTGTTTGTATAATTTGCATGGGTGGGAGGGAGGGTTAGCAAGTAAAAGTCTCATAGAAAAGGGCTTTTTTGGGCGGTGGGGGGAAGCGCAGAGAAAGGTTTATTGCAGGGCCAAGCAAGGAGAATGGGTGGCTTGTGCTCAAAAAACCCAAACAATCCGAAGGGTTTCATCAAAGTAGTTTTAAAGGCAGGGTGAGGGAGGGGTGTCCCAGGGTATGTTGATCAGCTTGTGCAGAATTCTCTGATTGGGAGGGCAAAAGGTTAAAAAAAAATGTGAAAAATTTTTTGCATTGTTCCTTCTAAGAAATTACTAATTTGCTTAAAGTGCAATATTTCTATAGGGTCTCTTTCTTACATGGTTATAAGTTATCAAACACGTCAGTTTTACATATAAGAAGGAAAGCTTAATTATTGCCACTTATAGTGTTATTACCAGGAACTTAAAAATGTCACAAAATATTTTATGATGTGCTCAAGAGATCCTTGCTGTGAATATTAAGAAAGAAATTGCTTTCAGGTCTTTGTCCGAAGCTATGTCAGTGGAAAAAATTGCTGCAATCAAAGCCAAAATTATGGCTAAGAAACGATCTACCATCAAGACTGACTTAGATGATGATATAACTGCCCTAAAACAGAGGAGTTTTGTGGATGCTGAAGTAGATGTGACCCGAGATATTGTCAGCAGAGAAAGGGTGTGGAGGACGCGAACAACTATCTTACAGAGCACAGGAAAGGTAATTGAAATATTTTATTTGTTCGTTAGAGTCAGTGTGTGTGTTTCATCTACGATTGGTTATAAAACTGGTTAAAGTTTCCCATGAGGAGGAAGTTTCAAGTTTATATCTGACAGATCGGTAATAATGTAGACTTCTAAGGGGCCATATTTACCATTCCATTCTAGCATGTGGTTGGTTGTTGGTCACCAGAGAAGCTGATGAAAAAGTCTGATTCAAAGCGCGAGTCCCTTTATTTTCACTTCATTTGTAAATCCAAAGAGATTTACAGTTTTCTTGTTGATGAGGTTTTTGCTTAAACCTAATGAACAAGGAATATTGATGGCAAGCTCTCTGATCATTAATACCGTTATTAATTTTTTTCCTCACAAAGTAGAGAACTTAACAAAAATCAAACATTTATTGAGTGTATTTGATACATTATAGTCTGTTGGGTGGATGTTTATTCCTTATTAATGGAGTTGTTTTGTTTTTTGCTACAGGATTGTGGGTTTTCTTCCTTCCCTTTCCTCCCTCCTCCTCCCCTTCTCCCTGTCTCCTTCCCTTCCTATTCCCTTCCTATTCATGATTACAAAAACTGCATTAAAAAACATCCTTGTTCATACACCTTTGTGCACTTATGTCTATATAGCAAAAGGATTAATTCCTAGAAGTGAATTGCTGATTAAAGGAGATATGTACTTTAAATTTTGAAAGATAAGTTGAAAGATACTGGATGTTTAGTATCTTAATACATCTCCAAAAAGGTTGCGTTGATTGTTTCACTTACCTCTTTTCACCTGTCTTTTCCTCCCACACATCCGAATTTTCCCTTAAATGTTAATTCTTCACTGATGCCCAGTTCACAGTGGTGATTTGGTGAGAAGGTTTATAGAAGTTATGAGATTACTGGTGAAAGTGAACTTTAACATTGGTCCAGGCAGACTGGTTTTCTTTGCAGTTCTCTTTGGATTCTGGCCTTAAGTTTACTGTGCCATTTTAGTAGGAATAAAGCTACTAGAAAAGAATATATGAAGGAAAGAATTCTTTTTCTTTTGTACTTTGACTTCTTTTACAAAGTACTTGAGGTCAAGGTTAAGAATCATTCTCCAGAGCTTAGAATTATAGAGAAATTTGAGAACATGAGTAAACTTTCATTTTTGTATTTAAAATAAAGTGATCTGTTGATACTCATTTTTACTGCCTAGTATGACTAATAGTTAAATATTGTTACTTTATATATCGTTGTACCAACGTTCATTGTAATGTTTGAAATGAACAATTTTCTTTGAGCTCTAGGTGGCAGGATTGTACCATCATTTCAAAACTTAGTGTTCTAATATAATTTACTGTTGTTGGCACCAATGTGTAATTTTAAAAATAAGTTAATACTAGAAGAACTGTCTGGTAGCTAGGTTTGTTTCTATGAGTATGAACATTTTTAAAAGTCAAAAACAACAATTTTAACTGAAACCCTCTCTGTATACTGTTCTCATCTGCAAAACTCTAAAATAAACCCTCTAAAAAAACCTTTTTAGGTACTTATAGCCCTGAAAGGCCCTGTGATTTTTGACAGATCTTCATTATTACCAGGTATCAGGGCTTTCTTTTTTTCTGAGTTTCCGAAATAAAAGACAGGTTTAAAATTCCATGAAAAATGTAACTACATACTTTTGTAGTTATATTACCACTGCAAACACCCTACAAAAAGGCAGCCTGATTTTATAATACTGTTTAAAACATACTTTTAAACTTACATACACTAGTATATGTTCCTCTTTGAAAGATTGATAAAAAGAGATCACTAAAAGGAAGATAATAATCCCCTGTAATTCTACCACACAAAGATAGCTAGTAACATTTTGATTGATTCTTCTAGAGTTTGTGTCTCTCATGAAATGCTTTTTTATTTTTAAAGTAATGAAATTTGACTTTCATATTTTCAGCTATTTTCATAATAGGATTAAGATTTTATTTGCGGGGCTTCCCTGGTGGCGCAGTGGTTGAGAGTCCGCCTGCCGATGCAGGGGACACGGGTTCGTGCCCCGGTCCGGGAAGATCCCACATGCCGCGGAGCGGCTGGGCCTGTGAGCCATGGCCGCCGAGCCTGCGCGTCCGGAGCCTGTGCTCCACAATGGGAGAGGCCACAACAGTGAGAGGCCTGCGTACCACAAAAATAAATAAATAAAATAAAATAAAATTACTCATGTGCAATTAATAACTTGAGTGAATTTGGCATTAAAAAAAAAAAAGATTTTATTTGCATATGTCACTGTGTTGACCTTCTCACTGCTGGTGCAAAAGCAGTGGTTGGTTAACTGCTGGCATCTTGGCATGAATCGAAGCATTGGCACCAAACTTTGCTAGTAGCCATTTTGTTCTTCACCTACTAATGATGTCCTTGGTGAAATTTGAAAATTTACTAATTTTATTAAATCTTAACCTTTGAGTATATGTCTTTCTAGTATTTTCTGTGATGAAATCAGAGCATACAAAGCACTCCTGCATCCCAAAATGTGATTGTCTCCACAAAGAGCACTTGTGCATTTGACATTTTTTCGGAAATGAGGAAAGAGAGCCTGTTCCTTCAAGAAATGGAACTGACAGTATTTGTTGCCAGTAATAAAATGCGAACTTTCATGAGAAAATTAGAATTTGGGAGGTTTCTTTTTGCTACTGAGACCTTAACAGTTTCCTAAATTTAACATAGTGCCACTCTTCCTTGTCCTTACTTTTTGTGCATTTTGGAAAATACTTTTTCATAAAAACAAGTTATTTTTACGTGGAATAGTTTTTTCCCTCATTTTTGTAGGAATTAATATTTTAAAAATATTTTAGTTTAAATTTCTAATGTGATAAATATTGTAACCTATATAATAAAACTCTTTGGGGTGTGCCATAATTCTCGAGAGTGGGAAGGGGTTGTGAGACATTTGTTTGCTGTCCTAAAGAATTACAGGAACTTGTAAGTACTATTAGTGGGGCAATGGTTAAAGTTATGTTTCAGGCTGTCTCTCCTTTTGTATACATGTTTATTTGTGTAATATTTATTCAGCATCTACCAGCCAGGCACGTGGTGTGCACTCACTAGAGATGCATTGGTCCTGGCTTTCACAAAGGTTATATTCTTTAATAGGAGAGAGAAAATTAAATAAGCAGTAATTGTGTCATATGACATTATAGGGATGCTACCCAAGAAGGGCAGCTAACTTAGTCTAGAACCACGAGGAGAGAATGATACCTAAATAGTAAAAAGTAATTAGGAGGGACAAGCTGTCCAAGCCAAAGAAACAGTATTCTTAATTGTATAGAGAAGAGAAACCACTTGAGGTTCACAAGGACAGGGACGACGTCTCTCTTAGTCGTCATTGTGTCTGAGTGCCAAGCGAGGTGTTTGGCTTATAGTCATAACATGTTGCTTAAAATGATAAGTGATTGACAGGCAGAATTAGAAGAGCCCCAAGGGAACTGAGGGAGAGACTCAGGTAAAAGAAGAATATTTCATGAAGGAAGGAGGAGTCAGATTCGTCAGCTTTGTTCAGTGTTGCTAAGGTTGTTCATGCAAAAGTTAAGTTAAATTTTTAAATTGCATTCCAACTTAAAAACTTTGAAAAGTGCATGTTGAGTCCTAACAAACAGTGTCTTAAAACTTTCAACATCTCATAAAAATTATAGCAGTCTGAAATTAGCCCTGGAGTTTATTATACCTAGAAGAGAATATAGTAGTTGATTTCTTTCAGAAGGATTAATTTCTTTTAGAATTAAGAAGCCCCCTTGGCAACAAATCTGCCATATTTTTATTTTTTTTAATGTTAACTTGTTTCCTGGTTACATATTTGAATAAATGGAGAATATGAATGAATTTACAGCCAGTTATGCACTTTACGTAAAATGAAAATAAGTGAGTAACACGGGGTTTATAATAATTGGTCTTTGGGTGAATTTCCTAGTAGCAGTTGATTCTTACTTACTTGTGTAGTAATCATACCTCATTATGATGTAGTAGGGAAGAATTGATAGGAAGAAAACTAAGTCTGAAATTGTTTATTAAGTAAACTTACTGCTTTTGGATATTTAATTTTAAGCAGACTTAATAATTAAAATCCATTTGTTTCAGAATTTTTCCAAGAATATTTTTGCAATTCTTCAATCAGTAAAAGCCAGAGAAGAAGGGCGTGCCCCTGAACAGCGACCGGCCCCAAATGCAGCACCTGTGGTAAGAATATTGTGCTGCTTATGTAGTAATTTTAATGAAAGCGATTATTCCGTGTTGTAATTTTGAAAACATCTTATTTATTTGCTTCTTTATTGTATAGTTGACATACAATGTTATATTAGTTTCAGGTACACAACATAGTGATTCTACATTTATATATATAATAAATTGATCAGAACCGTAAGTCTAGTAACCGTCTGTCACCATACACAGTTATTGCAGTATTAATGACTGTATTCACTGTGCTGTATATTGCATCCCTGCGACTTAATTATTTTGTAATTGGAATTTTGTACCTCTTAATCCCTTTTACGTATTTTGCCCCAACTCCCCTCAGCCCCTTCGGTGACCACCAGTTTGTTCTCTACATCTGTGAGTCTGTTTCTGTTTTGTTTGGTTTGTTGTTTTCTTTTTTAGATTCCACATATAAGTGAAATCTATGAAGCCAGTTTCATAAGGTTCAGCAAAGGAAAAATAATATGCAAATAAAATCTTTTTATATAGAATTTTTGAAAGTATGTCAAAATTTGGTAGAGTACTAATGCAGTCTTTGCAAGAACTAGTAGTTTTATTTGTTCATGAAATCCTTGGTGTTTACCCTTTTAGAGGTAGTGAATTTTTGCCGGTATTTAGACGAACACTTGAGGTGACTTTCTGGCAAGTTTTTAAGTGCCTCTTATTTGTCAGGCAGTTTGCTGACAAGGATACAAGAGGGACAAGAACGAAACATACAGATGAGTCAGACAGGTAGTGGGGCAGTTGCCGTTATGGTGAAACACAGGGTGCCTATGGTCATGAATTGGTTGACATCTTGAATAGCAGCTGGCATGAAACTTATGTCAAATCTTAAAACAGTTTGGCCATTATCTTCTTGACTGAATATTCTCTGTGTTTCCGTAATCATTAAAATACTTGAAAATTTTAATGTTTGGCATTTCACAATAGAAGTGTATATCTAGTGACAGTCTTGAAAGAGTATCTTTTATTTGGAATAATAATAGCAGTAGCATCCTGTTGTAACAAAATGAAGCGTATTTCAGTATTTATGAATGCCATGAATTTCCCAAGCAATTTTGGGAATATTCTTTAAATCTGCTTCTTTAGATTATTACAGACTGAGTTTTATATAAAGTATTTTTGAATTAAATTATACATCATTAGATTAGCAAGTTTTTCTCAGTATTTTTAAAAAACACCTTTGTTAGCTTCAGTTTTACACTGTACATTGATACATAGGTTTATTGTCATTGTTATTTATTTAATATAAGGATTAATAATTGGAATAATTCAGTTAAAAGGCTCCAAAGTGTCAGCTCAATAAGCTTTGCATTAAAAGTTTTTTTTGTTAAAGAAAAATAATTCATGACTGGAGACAGTTTATTAATTTGTGAAGAAACTTAAGTAATTAGAATGAAATTACTAAGTACACCGATTTTATTTCTGCAATGTCTAAGAATTTTGCTTTGTGCCTTCGTGCACATTTACTTGGGGTCCTTTGCCTTGTCCCTGGCAGGGATGGTAATTTTCTAGCAGTAAACAGTATCTTGAAAATCAGCTTCAGATGATTCCCCACTTTTGTTTACTCCTTGTTTTTGTCTTATTGGCTCAAATATTGAGAAGAAGGCGGCTTAGAAAACAATGGCCTTACTGTGTTTTTTATTATGAGTATTAAGTAACAATTTAAACAATATTGACATGTAACTCATAGTTATTATATTTTTCTACAGGATCCCACATTGCGTACCAAGCAGCCTATTCCAGCTGCCTACAACAGGTACGACCAGGAAAGATTCAAAGGAAAAGAAGGCAAGTTACTTAATTTTGGTCTTCCCCTTACCGTGGCCGTGCTGAACTTGAGAGGCACTGTGGCCTGGTGTTCGGGGCAGGGGTTGGCAAACTGACGTCTGCAGGCCAAGTCTGTGTCACCACGTACGTGTTTTCGTGAATCAAGTATTGTTGGAACACAGCTACACTCATTCATTTTTGTGTTGCCTGTGGCTCCTTTAGTGCTGAGACAGCAGTTTGAATTGCGACAGAGATCGTGTGGCCTTCAAAGCCTAAAAATACTGTCCAGCATTTTACAGAATAATTTTGATAAGTTACTTTAAGTGCAGTCTCTTTCAGTTTCCTCCTGTGTGTCATTACGATACTAATAGTAGCGTTAGTAGTAGTCCCTATCTTTTAGTGTTATTGTGGGGATTAAACTAGTTAATGAAGTCCACAGAATAGTAACTGGTATATATAATAAGCTATAAATATTTACTGCTATTAGCCTTAATTCTGTTTCTCAGAAATTTATTTTAGAATGGAAATTCTATATATAAAATCATATTTCCCCATTTATAAAGGTATACATTGAGAACTTGGGAAGCATAGATTATAGAGTAGGCATGTGAGGACTTGTTTTGTGATAGCTACACGGCTAATTTAATAGTGAACCATTTCCACATCAGTAAGGTGGCTAGTGAGGGGTGACTGATGTCAGCGCAACTTCTCTTGGGATCTTCATTTATCCTGACTTCATTCGTGAAAAAATGGCTTAGAGGCAACTAGAAGTTTATCATTTACAATTTTTTCCCTGCGTAATTTGAAATCTCCATTTAAGTTTATTAAAGCGTTTGTTGTCTTTATACAGTGAATTTTTTGTGCTGGTTTCATTTGCTGGATAAAGGCATGTACTGAGTCCATGGTGTAGAAAGACAATAGTGTGTTCTTTTATCCACTGCAATGTTTTTCTTTTGGGACGAATTATATAAAGTAGGGGTTGACAAATTAGAGCCCACAGACCAAATCTGAACCTCCTTGGGCCAAATCAGGCTGTGCTCATTTGTTTACATATGTTGTTCATCCTGCTTTTGCACCACAACTGCAAAATTCAGGAGTCGTGACAGAGACTATATGGCTTCCAGTGTGTAAAATATTTAATATCTGACCCATAACCGAAAGGTATATTGGGCCTCTGTCCTGGAGTCCCTGTCGCTCTTTACAACGTTGCTTTTCTGTGAGTTACATAACATATGCTGATGATTGTAATTTTGGAACACAGCTTTTTATAAGTTAAGGAGTAACTTATAAAAGTATTAGATGCTTTTAGTGGTGCTGTAGTTGAATATTAGGACTAAATAATTTGGGGCTTATAAAGTATTTTATTCAATCTAATTTTTGATATTTCCAACCAACTATATGACCGTTGAACACGGTTGTAGAGTCCTAACCAGCTTCTACATTTTGGGCTCATTGGTGTGTATTGAATGTATTTTGGAGACCAGTACTCCTTTTAAAGTTTCTAACTTCACAAGTATGTAATTTAACTTTATATCTATAGTAGATTCAAGGCTTTGTTATTCTGTTGAACTGTCAGATATAATGTAGATTATTACTTTAGATTTGTTGTTTATCATGAAATATGTAAAGTCTAATGGTAACCTCCCCTTCTTTACAGAAACGGAAGGCTTCAAAATTGACACTATGGGCACCTATCATGGTATGACGCTGAAGTCTGTAACGGTAAGTCACTCTGAATGCAGAGGTTCTTTTGTTCCATTCATTTTATGTGAGTAGCAGATGTTGAAGGAAATCTTTGTTCTCCAACATTTTCAATTTCATACATTTATCTTCAATGGCCAGTTGTGCTGACAGAGCTGCGGGGTGATTATTTGATTCATGGGTGTCTTTTTTTTTTTAAACTGAGTGTAAAGAAAAGCTGTTTTGATTAACTTGCAAGTAGGTTGGATGCTACCTGGTTAGAGAATTTAAAGTCAGTGAGGAGTTACGAGGTTCAATTTGGGAGAGTTCTTTGCCATAATATCTCATGTTACTAAAATGTAACGCTGGGCTTCCCTGGTGGCACAGTGGTTGAGAGTCCGCCTGCTGATGCAGGGGATGCGGGTTCGTGCCCCAGTCCGGGAGGATCCCACATGCCTTGAAGCGGCTGGGCCCGTGAGCCATGGCCGCTGAGCCTGCGCATCTGGAGCCTGTGCTCTGCAACGGGAGAGGCCACAACAGTGAGAGGCCCGTGTACCACAAAAAAAAAAAAAAAAAAGTAACGCTTTACACTCTAAAAAGACAGATTGCAGTGGTTGATGTCATGCTGCAAGTTGCATACTTGACACCGCCAAATACTTGATGTCCATGATTATAAGCCTTCGGCTCACTTTTAGCAAACTTTCTTTTTTTTTTTAATGTCCTAAAGATGGTTATTTCTAGGTGATCTGACCAAGGCCCATTTTTTTTTAAATAAGTTTCAGTTGTACAACATTGTAATGACATCTGTGTCTGCCAGAGTGATCACCACCACAAGTCTAGTTACCATACACCATACAGCTGACCCCTTCACCCATTTCACTCACCTCCCAACTACCTATCCCTTTGGTAACCACTAATCTATGCAATAATCTTTGTTATCTGTGAGTCTTTGTTCTTTTTTTAGTTTGTGCACTGATATTTGTCTTTATATGTATTTTGCTAAAACACTTATTTTTAAACTGTCATCAGATTTGTTTTTGTATTATTGAAATTGTATGTGGACGCATTATTCATTCAACAAGTGCTTATGAGTATTTGTGTCAGACCGTATTCTGGTTGCTAGGGTTGTTGCTGTGAATAAGTCAGATAGGACTCTTTACAGAAAGGAGTGAGAGAGGCCTCTCTGAGGAGGTGACAGTTGAGCCAGAGCCTGGTGACGAGCATTCCATGAAAGACACGCAGGGTCAGGATTGAGGCCCATACAGCAGCACACAGGCCAGTGTCTCCAGAGTCGAGTGGGTGAGGGGAAGGTGGTAAAAGGTTAGGTACACCCATTTTATGAGATCTGCCTAGGTCTTCCTGACTTCAAAAGGTAACTCATAGCTGTAAGATTGAACTTAAATTCTTAATTCTTATTGACCTTTTCTTGGGGACAGAACTTGCCTCCTCGCCATTCCCCAAGTGAATTATGGAACTGATGTTGTTACCCTGGTGTAGCCATCAAAATCAGTTTTTTGTGGTTAACTGTTACTGCTGTTGGTTTTACTTTTGTCTCATCTAAAATGCCATGAAATTGATTTCATTACTGAGCTTCCGAGCAATTGGTAAAATCAGTGATAGTTTTTAATAGATGCTTTTTACAGAACAGTTTTTCTGAAATCCAAGGACAGCTTCTTAATTAAACAATGTGTGAATGATAAGGCTCTACTTCCTTATCAAAGTCTTTGTTCCTAAATATAAGAGGCGAACAGTTCTATGGTGTGTGATTTTACAGAACTAATCACAAAAAGACACTGTGTAAGAACGCAACAGAAAGACTAGAAATGGTCAAATTGTTAGTACTTCCAATATTTTAATGCCCAGTTTGCATCTCTGTGCTGCTTGTGGCCTGATTCATTTAGCAGTTGTTATTGAGAACTTTGAACCTGAAAGCTTTGAAATTACTCTGATGATTGTTTCTTTTTAGTTGAATCTCAAACTTATCCTTTCAGTGTAATGTTTCTTCCTCCTCTTTTTTTCTTTTGAAATTATTACCTGTTTGTGAGCTTGCAAGTTTCACCAACTTTCTACCTCATTCTCCAGTTAAGAAAGTTTCTGTTATGAGATCCACCCAGACATACCAAGCAGTTACTGAGTATGTTAAAGGCTTTGTTGCACAGATGTGACTTCCTTTCTAATTTATGTGCAGCTCTGCTACCATTGTTCTTCAGGGTTTTGATATGCCTGGTTGATGTACAGAGTTACCAAGATCAGTTTCAATCTGCATTAGGATTGATCTGCATGTCTTTTAAGTTCAAGACACCAGAGTTCTCTTAGATGTTAGACTAAATTAGTAAGTCACATTATGCAGACTAGAAAATTTTCATACAAATGAGTTCTTTTCTGTATCTGTTACAGAGAAGAAAGGGGTATGTGTTTTGATAATATTTCATAAGAACCATAAGTTATTGAAATCTATAGAAATTAGGGCCCAGGCAGTATATTTTGTAACACTTTGTAAAGATAATAATTTGTTGAAGTTTATTATAGGAACAGAAGCTCAGGTACCTTAAAGTTACAAGTTTGTATAGTATAGCTTTTGAATTGTGCCAAGAAATACAGAGGCACACCACCTCTTGAAGAGTAGTTAGAGGGCTTTCCTGGGTTGGGACACTTCCCCCAAAATGTGTCACTTGGGTTCTATAATGTTTAAGAAATACTGGATTAAGCAGATTTTGTGGTATAGGAATCTCATCGTTTTTAATGTATAAATCTCTCTTTTTTCTTTATTTTGTGGTACGCGGGCCTCTCACTGTTATGGCCTCTCCCGTTGCGGAGCACAGGCTCAACGGCCACGGCTCACGGGCCTAGCCGCTCCGGGGCATGTGGGATCTTCCCGGACCGGGGCACAAACCCGTGTCCCCTGCATTGGCAGGCGGACTCTCAACCACTGCGCCACCAGGGAAGCCCCTATAAATCTCTTAATTGGAACACAGGAGTATGGCCTCTTTCCCAAGCTTGTTTACCCCCCAAGTTTGCCCCTCTCCTCCCTTCTGTTGAGAATACTGCAAAGAACCCGAGTTGCATAGAATCAGTTTAATTGAAGCTATCTTAGGAGTCGTGGTTTGGGAGTAGAAACCGTTCAGTATGGGGGACATCAGAATGTATTTCCATGTATTCCTTCACTGAAAGGGGCCGTTTTAGACTAAGAAAATGCCACTTGATAATGCTTTTCATTGTATAGTAAATAAAGGAGATGATGAAGACCTTTTTTTGTTAGGTAGTAGCAAGCAACTTATCTGTGGTTCCACCGGAGATGGAATAAGAAAGATATGATCACAGTTCATTATTCTTATTTATAAAGATTTGGAAATCCTTTATCAAGAACTACTTTATTTTAATCTCCCAATCTAGCTTGTTCATGTTCACGCGGAAAGGCCACGTGTTCTACCCCTGTTTATTCTTTCCTCTGTTCTTACTGAATATCATTGACTCTCGATAACCTTGCTGTCTTCATTTTTGAGGAAACCTTTTGCACTCTGAAATCATACAGATCAAAAGCTTCTCTTTAAGGTCGTTATTTGAAGAGACTCCAACAGATGTCGTAGTTCTTATGATCTCTTTTTTGGGAAACCATTTTTTTGATAGTAAACTTGGGTGGATTTTCAGTATCTGCGTTAGAGGTCTAATATTATCACTGTCAACTTTCACTTTTGAGAAGGATCCAGAATCTCAGTCTCCTCCA